GGAGAGCCGGCGGTCTCTCGAAGAACCGACCAACTGTTAATGTTTTCTGCTGAATGAATACTAGTTTCTTTTGTTGATGTTCGAGTGTGTGAACACTGCTGTAAGTCTGTGAACTGCGTGTCAAATTTCTGGGTCATATCACCTTCCCAGACCTTGATATCCCTATTGCTATCAGGAAAGTTTAAAGGAAGTGTACTGTACATTGCATTTCCAAACACCTTTCTTATAATTTGCTCTCTCCTTCATATTTTGGCTATCTTTCTTCTATTGCTTCTAACCCAATACCCAGGTCAGTGTCAGAAGCTCTTACTATTCCAGAATGGAGGGATGCTATGAGAACAGAAATTGGTGCCCTACATAAGAATGACACTTGAGAAGTGGTTGATTTGCCTGAAGGGAAGGAACCGGTGGACTGTAAGTGGGTTTTCACCATCAAATATCATGTTGATGGCACAAGTGAAAGGCACAAAGCTAGGCTGGTTGCAAAAGGTTATACACAGACATATGGGGTTGAGTATCTGGAGACCTTTGCTCCTGTTGCAAAGATGACCTCTATGAGGGTTCTGCTATCTCTAGCTGCACATTTAGATTGTCCACTTTACCGGTTGGATGTGAAAAATGCATTCTTGAATGGAGAGTTACATGAGGAGGTCTATATGTCTCTTCCTCTAGGGATGTATGACACATATATGGAGGAAAAAGTATGCAAGTTGAAGAAATCTCTTTATGGACTTAAATAGTCACCTAGGGAATGGCTTGAAAGGTTTAGGGCTGCCCTTGTTAACTTTGGCTATATACAGACTCAATCTGATCATACCCTCTTTGTGAAGAGGAGAGGCTCTTTGGCAATATATCTTATTGTCTATGTTGATGATATAGTTGTGACCGGTAATGATGTAATAGGGATTAATGATCTGAAATCTTTCCTTCATACAAAGCTTGAGATCAAAGATCTAGGGGAATTGAGGTATTTTCTTGGCATAGAAGTTGTTCGGTCTAAGGATGGGATTCTTATCTCTCAACGAAAGTATGTGCTTGACTTGCTCACTAAAACAGGGAAGATGGATGCTAGACCAGTTGCTACTCCTATTGATATGAGTCATAAACTTTCTGCCTCAGAAGGGGTATTGTTAAAAGATAAGGGAGTCTTCCAGAGTTTACTTGGGAAGCTGCTCTATCTGTGCATGACTCGGCCAGACATTGAATATGCTGTCAGCTGCATTAGTCAGTTCATGCATGCTCCCAGGGACACTCACATGGTAGTAGTAGAATGAATTCGGTGTTATTTAAAGGATTCTCCTGGAAAGGGAATTCTATTTGCTAAGCATGGCCATATGAAGCTGGAGGCTTACATAGATGCTGATTGGGTCTGAAACATTGATAATAGAAGGTCAACTTCTAGGTACTGTAGCTTGGTGGCAAGTGATATTGTTTCTTGGAGAAGCAAGAAACAATCAGTTGTTGCCAGATCTTCAGCTGAAGCTGAATATAGAGCCATGGCTCATGGAGTTTCTGAGCTACTTTGGCTTCGATCCTTGATGGAGGAACTGGGTATTGAGTATGATAAGCCATTAATGTTATATTGTGATAATCAGGCTGCCGTCAACATTGTTCACAATCCGATGCAACATGACAGGACCAAACATATTGACGTTGACAAACATTTTATCCGAGAAAGAGTGGCTTTTGGAGAAGTTTGTCGAAGGACAGCTAGCTGATTTCCTTACCAAGGGCATCCCCAAGGCCAAAACTTCAGCATGATACTGGCAAGTTTGGCATGATTGACATCTATGCTAAGCTCGAGGGGGAGTGTAGAGAAGATGGGCCGAATGGCCCATTAGACTGTTTTTTTATAACTTTTCTTTATGTTCTTTGCTGTAATGGGCCTCAACATGGGCCTTACTTATGTTATGTCTATTTTAAATTATTCGCCCAATTAAGGGCCTCTCTGTAATTACTGAAATTAAGTTAATGAAAAGGGATTAGGGTGTAAGAGAGGATTAGATTTTGAAAATCTCTCTCTGAACCCTTATTGCCGCCACCTTCTTCTTCCTCTTCTCTCTTCTTGATTCTCTGTTTCTGCTGTTCTCTATCACTTTTCTGAACTATTTTAAACAGTCTGCTTATTTCAGAAGTTTGTTTTTCTTCTGTAAAAATAAAAAGGTATGCTGGGTTTCTCTTTTAATTACCTTCTTGTATTAACATGCATTTAGTGCCCTCTCATACCAGGCCAAGTGATGAGGCTAAAAAAAATTGTGAATGTATTCTGTTTTGCATGCTTTTTGTAGTGGGTTCCCAAATTGGTGTTTTGGGTAGCTTTGTTGACAGTTTGGGGACCAGGGTTATTTTCGTCATTTTATAAGTCAGATTTTTGGTCAGGGGCAGTTGGGTGCATTTCTGTTGGGTTTTGGTCTCTTGGGTCTTTTTGTAACAAAAGTTATCTCTTGGGGGTTCATTTGAAGATAGTCTTGTTCTTAAGGAGTTGTTGGTGAGAGGGAAACATTCTAGGGGCTTATGTGTAAATATTTTAACTAGCTTGTTCAGCAAGCAAGGTTCAAAGTATCGATACGATATGAGTTTCGGTCGTATCGTATTTGTACTTAGAAACGGCCGAAACTTTATTTTTTTTTCACATTTTGGTTTTTTGGGAAGCTTTTAGCATGCTTTTTATTATTAAAAAAAATTGGGGGTCCGAAACCCCTGGAAATAGGCGTTTCGAACCGTATCTTTTTCAAAAGATACAATACGATACGCCCGATATGGGGCGTATCGTATCGATACTTTGAACCTTGCCAGCAAGCTAGCGAGTCTTATAAAAGAGAAGGGGGCTGTTTCTGTAGGGGTTTCTTTTGGTTCTTTCTCTCTTGTTTGAGCTATAGCTCAGCCTCAGCTAGGGTTTTCAAGCATTGGGAGCTTGGGTTTTGAGGAGTCGACCCATTTTGGCACCTGCCAATCCCTCCACGCCGTCTGCGCGGGAGGCCAGCTTGCTGCCATTGTTACTGTAGCAGAACTGTTCCAGGAGGAGTTTTACTTCAGGTTCAGGTCTGGAATCCCTAAAAATCCAACTTATTTTGCTGTTTTCAGCTTGGTATTTCTTGTGCTTATTGCTCTATACTTGAGGTACTGCATGTAATTTGTCTTTCTGTCCACATCACCAAGACCAACCACAGCCCTGCCTGAACTCACTTTCATACTATATTTTGGTCTAGGCCTGTCTCTGTCTTACATTGGGCCATCTTGGGCTAACCAAGCCCAATGTTCATCACTTCATCCCTAGATGGAATTGATGTTGAAGCACATAATACCTAATAACTTGATTGGATTTAAAAATTTTCACTCTTCAAATATTTAGTATTTCAGCCATCTTTGTGATCCAAACACGATTGATGAATTAAGTTTGATAAAATTATCTTCCAGATTGTTGTTCCTAGTCCTGATATGCAGGGTCGTCAAGAGATACTGGAGCTTTATTTACAGGACAAACCTCTGGCTGATGATGTAGATGCCAAAGCACTTGCTCGTGGTACCCCTGGCTTTAATGGTGCAGGTCTGCCCTCTCCTATCTGTTAGACATGTTTTCTTTCAGTTAATGGGAAAATTTTCTATTTTATGTAAAAAGTCCCAAGGATAGTCCCCCAAGAGCACGTGACTTTGAGATGTATATATGGTGAAGTGCATTTACTTCTCCTTTTCTTCTTCAAAAAAGTATGTGATAGAAAAAGTGCACTTATCCTTTCTTCTTCGAAAAAAAAGTGGTAGAAATTGCATCTACTTCTATTTTATTTTTTTGCATTCAAATAGGGTAATAGACCTAGTGAACCTGATAGGTGTTGCAAGCAAGTCTTTTGAATAGGAATACTTTTAAGAAGAATGTCTTTTGAATATATGTTAGAATCCCGAACGTTTATTTTCTCTTTGCCTTCTTCATTACAACAGATCTGGCAAATCTGGTGAACATCGCAGCTATTAAGGCTGCTGTTGAAGGTGTTGAGAAGTTGACTGCTGCACAGCTGGAGTTTGCAAAGGACAGAATAATTATGGGTACAGAGAGGAAAACAATGTTTATATCAGAAGAATCAAAGAAGGTAGGCATACTGTTCATTATGAATTACAGACTAGGGAGATGACTTGTAGCTCAACTAGTTAAATAATTCTAATTATAAGATCATGGGTTCAAAACAGAAAGTTTTCAATGTTTCTATTCAGATCACTAGCAGGAACACCTTTAAACCAAAATTCAAAATTTTGACATGATATTCCCTTTATAGGGCATATTGTATCATATTGACAGGTGGCTGATATGCCTTTTTTAAGGCTTTTCCAAAATCTCTCATTTTTAAATGTTAAACAATATTTAAATCGGCCCTTGATCAAAATATGAAAGTAAAAGAATAAAAGAAAAGGTTTTTGTAGTACCGAAACACCCAATACACATGTTCGTGTGTATCGGGTGTATCAGTACTTGAACCATTCTTTAAACAACTCAGAACTAGTGACCCACAAATTGTAGCTATGAGTAACATGAGAGATCAAGTCTTCCTGAATTCTGCTGTTGTTGTCAAAGATCCAATTATTCCTTTCTTCCCAAAAATCCCACATTACTGCATGAACAATTGTTTGCGAATAAACCTTGCCTCTCCTACTGAGGCCTCTACCTTTCCACTTCCAAAAGAAATCCAAAATATGTTCTGAGGCAACCCAGCTCCTATGAGGTTGAGGAAATGACACCAAATTTTTCTGGTTTCCTGGCAATGGAGGAGTAAATGATCAGCAGATTCACCATCATGGAGGCATCAAATGTAAGTATGAGGGGAAAGACATAATCTTCAGGTACTCTTCTTCTTCTGGACAAGGTCACAAGTGTTTATTCTCTTCAGACAAGCTTCAAAAAAAAAAAAAACTCAGAGAGATGTGATGTGAGTACACCAAATCTTCTTGGAGGGAAAGGAAATGTTTTGCTCACTTGCAATCAAACCCTTGGAAAAAGATTTGGAAGAGAACCTTCTGGCAAGGTGGAGATATATAATTTTTCTTAAACCAAACATATTTCTCATTCTTTTTGTTTCTTTGATAAATAACTCTATTATTTGGAAAAATGAAACAAATGCTATTCTCTATTTCCTTCCCGCCATTTCTGGCCATTCTATTTCTAGCCAAAAATAGAATTTCTTTATGGCAAGAAATGGCAAGAAACAGAAGCAAGCATGCCCTTTGTATCTCCTAGGTTGGGGTCTCATGAATCCTTGTATGGTACTTCTTTCCCTTGGCATGCACCATGTGCAACTATCTCATGATTTCCTGTTTTTAGAAATCAGAAAAGGATAGTTACACTGAAAGAATTGTTCCTTTTTCCAGCTCACCGCATATCATGAGAGTGGTCATGCAATTGTTGCATTTAATACTGATGGCGCACACCCTATTCACAAGGTGACAATAATTCCACGAGGTTCTACACTTGGTATGGTTACCCAACTTCCTTCAAATGATGAAACATCAATTAGCAAGAAGCAATTATTAGCACGTCTTGATGTCTGTATGGGAGGGAGAGTTGCCGAAGAACTTATCTTTGGTCAAAAACATATTACAACCAGAGCAAGTAATGACCTGCATTCAGCTACTGAGCTTGCACAGTATATGGTAATTCTCAAAGCTCTATCACAATTTTCTGCAATTTTAATAATTTACCATTCTTCCAACTTCCAAGTATTTTGGAAATATTAGAATCTTTAATTGTATTACTTTAAGTCAAATATTTTTTTCATTAAACTTTATCCTAATAATACATTTAGGTTTTGATGGTCATGCCTTATTAATTCATTAGTGGTTAAACATGTAATCTTTTTGATTGATGTATGTTATCTTTTAGAACTAAATTTCTAAATAAAATCCTTAGCCTGAGCTGTTATTAAATCTCTACGCTCATTTAACTAATGGTACTCCTGTCTCAATGTTAATTTTGTAAGTTCTATCATATTGATAAAAAAATTCTATGGCTACCATTTTGTATGCCAGGTAATGACTTGTGCGATGAGTGGTACAATTGGACCAGTTTATATCAAAGAGCGACCAGGTTCAGAGATGCAATCTCGCATTGATGGGGAGGTATCTCTCTTTGAATCTTTAGTTGTTTCACTTGTCTTGTAGAGACTGTAATCCAGAGATGTAAATTCAGTAAGAAATAATTCAGAGAAAGAAGAGAGAGAGAGAGAGAGAGAGAGAGAGAGAGAGAAGAGAATTCAGAAAAAGAATGTGGGTCAATTACACATTGCCGCCCCACTCAGCTATTTATATTAATAGTTTAAAACATAATAAACTTACAATATTGCCCCTACTATCTACTGTTAACAATTTAACATAAATAAACAGCACCTTAAAACTAACTGAAATAACTAACTTATTGACACTACTAACATGCTAACAGAAACACAACTAATATGCTAACAGCAACATAAATAACATATTATTGCTCCACAACTCTACACTCCCCCTCAAGTTGGGAGTAGATATCAATCATTCCCAACTTACATAAATCTGTTTCCAACTTGGTCTTTGGGACTACCTTGGTGAAGAGATCAACAAGTTGCATGTTAGGGGTAATATATGGAAGACCCACTTCTTGAAAAGCAACTCTCTCTCTCTCTCTCTCTGATAAAGTGTCAATCCACTTCAATATGCTTAGTTCTATCATGTTGAACCAGATTATGAGCAATGTTAATAGCTGCTTGATTATCACAATACAACATCAGGGGCTTCTCATAAGCAATGCCTAGTTCCTCAAATAGAGATCTTAACCATAATACTTCAGCCACACCATTTGTCATAGATCTGTATTCAGCTTCATCACTGGAACAAGCAACAACATTTTGTTTCTTGCTTCTTCAAGAGAAAAGATTTCCTCCTACAAAAGCACAATATCTAGAGGTGGATCTCCTGTCATCAACACACCCTGCCCAATTAGCACCTATGTAAACTTCTATTTTCATGTGACCATTATCTTTGAAGAGTATTCCTTTGCCTGGACATCTCTTCAGATAAGCAAGGATCCTCTTAACTGCAAGAAGGTGAGTAGTTCGGGGAGAATGCATATACTGGCTAACAACACTGACCGCATAAGAAATGTCCGGTCGTGGAGGCAAAGATAAAGAAGTTTCCCAACCAATAGTTGAAACATAACCTTGTCTTCATGGGGCTCTCCACCTTCTACACTTGTGATTTTGTTCAATAGGTGTGTCAGCAGGTTTAACACCTAGCTTCCTAGTTTCTTCCAAAAGATCGAGAACATACTTCCTTTAGGAGACAAAAATCTCATGTTTAGACCGTGCTACCTCAATTCCCAAGAGATACCGTAGTTCTCCCAAATCTTTGACCTCAAATTTTTGGTGAAAAAATTGCTTAAGAGAGTCAATCTCATGGGCATCACTTCCCGTCACCACAATATCATCCACATATAAAGCAAGTAAAGTTAAGGAGGAATCCATTCTCTTAATGAAAAGAGTGTGATATGATTGGGCTTGTACATAGCCGAATTTTTCAAGGGCCTATCTAAATCTATCAAACCATGCTCTTAGAGACTGTTCCAGTCCATATAAGGTTTTATTTAGCTAGCAAACCTTCTTCCCCACTTCTGTACTATAGAATCCAGGAGGTAACTCCATATACACCTCCTCTTGCAAATCACCATCGAGGAAGGAATTCTTTACATCCATCTGAAACAATGGCCATGAGAAATTTGCTGCAATGGATAGTGAAACTTTGATAGTATTCATCTTGGCTACTGATGCAAAAGTCTCCAAATAGTCTATGCCATATGTCTGTATAAACCCCTTTGCAACTAATCTAGCCTTATATCTTTTAGCGGAGCCATCAGTGTTATGTTTCACTCTAAACACCCATCTACACCCAACCGGTTTCTTCCCTTTAGGTTAATCAACTAACTCCCATGTATTATTCTTTAGAAGAGCATCCATCTCTACCTTCATTGCATCCTTCCACTCAAGTATTGACAAGGCTTCTTGCACTGTTCTAGGAATGGAAATAGCAACAATAGATGCCAAAAAGACTTATAGGATGGAAACAAATGATCGTAAGACAGAAACTAGGAGATGCAATGAGCTTTAGATGAGGCACAGTGGTGCTTCCCTTTACAGACTACAATTGGGAGATCAAGATCATCCAAAGGAGGAGGAGAAGGCTCAACAATGGGAAGTATAGGAGGTATTTCATCTGTAGTGGGAGATAAAGGAACAGTGGTACTTGGATCTGGAGCCGCAAAGGAAATTGGAGTTGGCATGGACTGTTGATGACCGAAATCAACCTTGCCTTCACCACCTGTGATACACCCTCAAATCCTGACATTTTTTATAACCCTCCTCACTACACTCCCCTTTGGTGATTAGGACGGGTAATGGAATTTCTGATGAATGAGACCCAATCTCACTATTCTCCCCCTGAGAAGAAACTCTATGATAATAGGGTACATCCTCAAAGAATGTGACATCTGTTTTCTCACAAGAATAGAGAGAGAGAAGAGAGGAGAAGAGAAGGGGAAGAAAGATGTATGAGAGTCAAAAAGTTAGGCCGACGGCGCCCAGCTTCTCTTTTATAATAATATGATGTAACAAATAAAAAAGAAATTACAAGTAGGTCCCTGGCGGCCCACCCTAAAAACAAAACTTAAATAAAAGAAAAGAACATGTTGGCAACAATCTAGGCTGATAGCAATCTAACAACAAAAATAAAACACTTCAATCCAACAACACTCCCCCTCAAGTTGGGTTGAATATATCTATCATGCCCAATTTGTCATGCAGTTCATTGTGTTGCAAGTATGGGAGCCCTTTTGTGAGAACATCAGCAAGTTGCTCCTTAGATTTAACATAAGGAGTACAAATTTCTCCCTTTTCCAATTTTTCTCTTATGAAGTGCTTGTCCACTTCAATGTGCTTGCAACTACACTTTGTTTCTTACTTCTCCATGTCATTAGATTTCCTCCTACAAAAGTACAGTTCCCACTTGTGGACTTTCTATCATCCACAGCACCTGCCTAGTCAACATCTGTATAGACTTCCACTCTCAGATGATTATGTTTGCTAAATAGCAACCTATTCCCTGATACTTCTTCAAATACCTAAGAATCCTTTTTGTTGCCTCCATGTGTGGTCTCTTAGGGGAATGCGTGAATTAGCTCAGGACCCCAACTAAATAAGCAATGTCTGGACGTGTCATGGACAAATAAAGCAACCTTCCCACTAACCTTTGAAATTGTTTCACATCTTTCGGTGGTTCACCATCTGTTATGGGCCCGGGCGTAGGATCTCGTCACGGGTCGGTCCACGGGGAAAAGCTCYTGTTTTCCCTTGTTCCTYCCCTTCYTARMTGAAYCTATCTTGGCGTCCTAGAGGGTGATTTGTCCAAGAGATCACCGAACTCTCCTTTTACTCTCTTTCTTGACTGGAAATCTGATATCTTTATTCAATAATTT